GCGGTCAGCTGAAAGACTTCCACGCACGAGGCATCCAAAAGCTGTTCTCTTAGTCTTATTAGTCTCAGTATCAGACTTGCTTGGATCGAGCTGGTTTTGTGGAGAAGTGAGGTAAGCCCCTTATTCTACAAAAATTTCTTTGATTATTCGTCAGTGATGAACGACTAAGGCTTTGGCAGAGAAGCTCTTCTCCTGTAGCGGACTTCAAATCCTCGCGGATTTGGCGGGAGCGTCGAGCACCTCGGCGCGTTCAAACGGCTCGCGTTCGGCCGCACATGGTCCGATTTTGTTGCGGTTTGTTTCGTTGAACTCAAAATATCCTAAGGAAGATTTCGAGCCCAAGTTTTTTTTAAAATTGGTCCATTCTTATGGATTTTAGAGAGGGGGGATACTTACTTATTGAACGCCCCTCGTAATTTTTTCCCCCCTATGGACTTTCCACCTTTTTTTTCTGCGTGTTTGGGCAGGAGTTACTTCATTCTCTGCATGTGTGATGAAATCTAAAGTCTCTTTATTTCTTTCAAATAAAAAAAAAAAATTTACAAGAAAATGAAGTAAATTAAAAGAGAAAAATTTGAATAGTGTCTAAATGAACTTCGAAATGAAGTACGAATATGTGGTAAAATTGCACTTGCTGTTGCTTCTTCTGGAATAGCAGCTACCTTACTGTGGGGTGGAAGAACCGCACATTCAGTGTTCAAATTACCTATAGATATACTTTCCCACGAAAACCCCGTTGGTAACATTTCAAAACAAAGCGATGCAGCCAAAGTTTTACGGGACTGTCAATTTATTGTTTGGGACGAAAGTACAATGTCACATAAAAAATGCGTAGAGGCATTAGACCGTTCTCTCCAAGATATTCGCAATAACAATCTACCAATGGGAGGAATTACAGTTCTATTCTCTGGCGATTTTAGGCAAACACTTCCTGTCATTCCATCAGGAACACCAGCAGACGAAATCAATGCTTGCTTAAAGTCATCTCACCTTTGGAATAAGATGGTAGTTTTACACTTATCCAAAAATATGAGGGTTCGTGTAGGGTCTGAAAAAAATATGGAGAAATTTGCTCAAATTTTGTTGGAGATTGGCAACGGCACGAGGTATGAAGTTGACGATAGAATTGTGTTGGATGATAACACGTGTGTAGTTGTTAATTCAATTTATGAGTTAATTGCAAAAATTTATCCCAACACGAAAAAAATTCAATCAATTCATTATTCATGGTTTAAAGAAAGAGCAATTTTGTCTGCCAGGAATGAAGACGTTCTTGAAATTAACAACTTATGTTTGAAAAATATTGAATCTCCGGAAAATACTTACTTATCAATTGATTCAACAACTAAGATTGAAAATGCAGTTCACTATCCTGTTGAATTTTTAAACACTTTAAATCCTGCTGGTTGTCCTCCACATGCATTGCATTTAAAGGTTGGTGTTCCCATTATGCTTTTAAGAAATTTAAAACCTCCTAAATTGTGCAATGGTACCAGATTAATTATTATTATACTTTACATACGTACTTAATTGAAGCAAAAATAATTACAGGCCCAAATGAAGGAGAAACTGTATTCATTCCCCAAATTCCTATAATTCCATCAAACTTGCCGTTCCAATTTAAGCGTTTTCAATTCCCTGTGAAACTTTGTTTTGCGATCAGCATAAATAAATCACAAGGTCAAACGTTAATAACAGTTGGTGTAGATCTAAGGCATGATTGCTTTTCACATGGACAGGTATACGTAGCTTTTTCAAGAGTTAGTTCTCCAGAAAATTTGTTTGTTCTACAACCAACTTGTAAAACCAAAAATATTGTTTATAAAAAAGTTTTATGTTAATTTAATGCAAACAAACTTTCACAGAGAATTGAAAACGCTTCAAA